TTCCCGCTATAAAAAGTCTCACGCTGTAATACTCTTTTCCCGCCATAAAAGTCTCACGCCGTAATACTATTTTCCCGCTATAAAAAGTCTCACGCTGTAATACTATTTTCCCGCTATAAAAAGTCTCACGCTGTTATACTCTTTTCCCGCCATAAAAAGTCTCACGCAGTAATACTATTTTCCCGCTATAAAAAGTCTCACGCTGTAATACTATTTTCCCGCTATAAAAAGTCTAAGGCAGTAATACTATTTTCCCGACATAAAAAGTCTCACGCTGTAATACTCTTTTCCCGCCATAAAAAGTCTCACGCCGTAATACTACTTTCCCGCTATAAAAAGTCTCACGCTGTATTACTATTTTCCCGCTATAAAAAGTCTCACGCCGTAATACTATTTTCCCGCTATAAAAAGTCTCACGCTGTAATACTATTTTCCCTCCATAAAAAGTCTCACGCTGTAATACTACTTTCAAGCCGTAAAAGTCAATCATTAATCATTGTACAAAATACCTTCCAGTCTTCTCCGTTCATTGCTGTATAATCCAAACAAGACAACGTCACAAAGGCAGTTAGCAACACTGCAAAACGATAACGTCTTAGAGCCCGCGTAAAAAGGACTATTGACGTACTGGCTATACAATAAGGGCATTACTAAAGTCTTGTGCGTATCAAATGCGCATGCGCCGTAAAAAACGTCACATATCGTTCCGTTACGCTTCACTACACACATCGTTTCACGATGTGTTCCATTCCGCTTCACTTCACGATGTGCTCCGTTTCAAGCATAAAATAAATTTCCCGGTCCGACATTTTTGCCGGATCGGGAAATTTTTTCGAACCCACCCAATTTTTTTTTCTTTGGACTTAATTTCTCACAAGGTCGTAAGAGAAGTACTCCTGCTTGGTCTTCTTGCTGACTTTAAAGCCTGTACTTCTCACGAAGGCTCCTTCCAAGGGTTCCTTCTCTCTGTTCAGTCCACTGCAGGCCCACACCCTATTCGTTTCTCCTTCTCTGTTTTTCAAGGTAAGGATCTTACTCCTCCCAAACTTCCCATCTACTTCTACCACTTCCAGGATTTTATAGATCACACCGGTTGAGAGTTCCTTCCATTTCAGGGTTTCCAAACTCTGGTCCTTTGCCTTTTCCTCAAAAACATTATCATTGATAAATTCGTTGTCTGAACTTCTGAGTTCCTCCATCTTTTGAACGAATGCCATGCTTGTATTTACTTTATACTCAACTGGGAGGCGGTCCGTTTGCATTCCGGAGCTGGGGTTGGGGGTCCTATGCAGGTTTTGCCCTTGAAATTGGGGGTGATGTAGAATCGGCCTTTTCACACTACTGAAATAATATTAAGGTACTAAAAATGAAATATCATTTCGCCGGATTATGTTTTTGAAATTTGGAGATGATTGAATGGATCTAATATCTAACGGCAATAAATTCCATGCACTAATTGAAGAAGGGAAAAAAGATTTAGAAAATATGTCCACTCTACATCTCGGTACTCTATAGTGAGAATGGTTTCTAGTATTATAATAATTATCATCTGTATAATCCGAGATATAATCCATAAGATATTCTGGAACATTATTGTTGTAATTCTACTTCAAAATATGTGACAAAATCTGCTGTATTTGCAAAACGCGGAACAAATCCGGAAAAAAATATGTCTGTCAAAATGATTCAACTTTCTCAATTAATAATACTGTTCAAGAAGATAAAGAAAATATGCAGTACTTTATGAAAAAAAAAAAAAGGGCGCAACACAAGTCTATGAGATTCATTAAGTAAAAAACACGTGTTGTACCAATAATGGTACCAATAATGGTCACATTCCAATATATATTGATGTATTTGAAACTGAATCGTTGGTGTGTCAGATAAAACAGTAAAATAAAAGGTATTTTTTTCCTTGAAACCGTTTATTTTTTTTTTAAAACATTGATTTTGTTGATTTTTCATCACAATTGATCGTGAAAGATCTGGCAACGCATAATCTTGATCGTGAAAGACAAGGCGTGACCAGACGGGCGCTTGACGTTTGTGCTCTTTTAGTTTTACCTGTAACACTATGGACATTTGCGCTTTAGTCTTTGATGCACCTGTACAAAATTGACAAGACATTTTCACTATTTACCTTTAACAGTTTACCTGTAATGCGGCGTTCACACAGTGCCGATTATGGCTCCCGTTTGAGATCAGACAGTGATAGGACACGAAAAGTGAAAAAGTCGGATTACTATCCAGAATGATCTGGAATGTCCTATAATTGTCTGAACGCAGTCGAATAAATTCGTAACAGTTTCCTACTGATTGGGAATGGTCCGGAGCGGTCGGCAAAGCACCCCGACAGTTTGGTGCGTCCCGTAACATTCGGGGAAACCGATTTTGTCTAGTCGGATTTAAATCGTGATTATGTCGTGACAGATTCTTCTATATCGGATAAAAATCGTAACAATGTTCTGTGTTATCTGGACGGTGTCCTGTAGAACGGGCATGAACTGGAGAAAGTTGTCATTGCTGTTTTTGTGCCGATTGAGTCCATATTGCATCCAGATCTTACCGAATGCGAACCGTCTTTGCCGAAACCGTTCCGGAACAGTTCCGTTATGAATACGAAATTCGGCAATGATACCAACGTCAGAATCCCGACAATTACCGAACACAATGACGTTGTGCACGATGTTCGTACCAATTCCATTTTGCTATAGATTAGCATGAAAATAAAAAAGTAGACTGGTCAGTTCGATAAAAATATAGTGATTTCTTGATGAATTTATTACATTAGACTTGCAAATATAGAAAAAAAGGAACCGAAATTTAAAATATCAAGAATTATAACACTTAATTATCCCATTTTTACGCAAAACGTAATGTCCTACGGTATTTTTTTCTGATCATCGTAAAACTTCACAAGAGTATTGCTATTGTTATTGTTATTCGCGAAATAAAGCAAAGTCAATATGACTGAAACCGTAAACCGGAAAATGTTATTTTTGAAACCGGTCTGAAAAATGTCCAAGCATATGCAAGGTAAGCATATATCGGGTTTGCGCAATTATACCGTGAAATTGGAAAAGCTGAGAAGAAAAATATTTATGATATTTTGAGAGTTTTTTGCTTTTCTCCTGGTTCATGATATTTTTTTGGCCGGAAACCATGCGTATAGTTTCCATTGCAATGACTTCAAAAAGTATAGCCATCTTGTCCCAACGAAAAAAACGCTGTATTTTCTTTACAATTGAGGTATATTAAATAAGCATAGTTAGATCATAGAAAATAAAACTAGGCGGTAACAGTTTTTTTCTTTTTCTTTTTAAACAGTATAGTGTTTAACATTTTTTCGATTGGCAACAAGATTTTTAGATCGTTTCAAAAAGTAAAGCCGTTTTGTCCCAACGTTCGCAAAACGTAATTGATGTCATGCTCGGGTTTTTAATTTCATCTCATGATTATTTGTTTCCAGTTGAATTGTAAAGAAAATACAGCGTTTTTTTCGTTGGGACAAGATGGCTATACTTTTTGAAGTCATTGCAATAGAAACTATACGCATGGTTTCCGGCCAAAAAAATATCATGAACCAGAAGAAAAGTAAAAAACTCTCAAAATATCATAAATATTTTTCTTCTCAGCTTTTCCAATTTCACGGTAAAATTGCGCAAACCCGATATATGCTTACCTTGCATATGCTTGGACATTTTTCAGACCGGTTTCAAACTAACATTTTCCGGTTTACGGTTCCAGTCATATTGACTTTGCTTTATTTTGCGAATAACAATAACAATAGCAATACTCTTGTGAAGTTTTACGATGATCAGAAAAAAATACCGTAGGAAAGAAACGGAACTCGGATCTTTTGCACACAAAATGTAACGTTGGACATTACGTTTTGCGTAAAAATGGGATAATTAAGGTGGCTCACCCCAATAAGGACCCCCGGTAGAATTTTTTTATTTTCACATATTTTGTAGATTTTTTTATGCTGAATCCAAAAATGCGAAGAAAAAAGGGGGTCACTAGGCTCGTTTTCCCCTCAAATGGAAGCGAAGTGTGCGATTTTGACCCTATTTCCAAACTTTTCCACCCTTTCAACAATAACGACTACATCAAATTCAAAGACTTTTAGAACCATGACAGTATGATTATTATGTGAAAAAAACAATTAAATTTGATATGTAAACGTTCCACTTGGTTGTTCTAGACTTAAAAAATCCTTTTATTTTCAGATTTATGTCTAAATTTTGCATTTTCCAATTTCAGTTTAAGGCTAAAAAATATTGGTTAAATCGATTTTTCGTAAAATTTCCCCGGTAGATTTTTTTTAAAAACGGATGTGTCAAAGCTATGATCTTTTCGAGCATTTTAAGGTAAAATAAAATGGGGGTCACTAGGCTTTTAAAAAAGTTACGAGCTTTTGTTTAACCCCTCTACCCCATGAGGTCTTATTTCAATGCACTCCATTAATTACTTTCTTGTGAATTTTTTATTGATGTCTTTCAATGAAATAATGTTTGTAATTATATCAATGGACGATAGCTGAATATAAATGTGATTAACATTTTACTGTTTGTTATAAAAAAGCGAAATTTTGATTATTTTGGTGAAATACGGTAATTTTGTCTGGCGCGAGTTGCTTCCCTCTAATTTGGCGCCATAATCGGACAACAGAAATTTCAGGGTCGCCATTGCTGAGCAGCATACTGCCAGGCCTACCTAACTTCCGGATAGACGCCATTTTGGAAAAAACCGGTCATAGTCAGAGAGGTAAGTGGTCAATTTGAAAGTCTGAATTTAGAAAATCGAGCAACCCAATTTTATATTTGATTAGTGTTTATGGTTCTCTGAGTTGAAAATTTTAATGTTATCATATTTTGATAATTGAAATTTTTCAGGTTCTTGAGAAAAACTGCAATGTTTCTAAAAATGATGCGAAAACACATGTCTGGTAAAACCAAGTCTTGGTTTTATGAATTTTTGACAATTGTTCCTTTTTTGATAAGATATTTCTTAAAACTTAAGGTCCGATAAAACTTTAATAGGTTTTCGAATGTTTATATGACAACATCATTGCAGATCGGGTGCAAATTATGCATTTTGACGCACATGTTATGCCTCTTCATTGTTATTCAAATGAGCGACCATAACCAGTTGTTTGTGTACTTCAACACATGATGTATCATTGAAAACGTGTAGGAATTGTATGGTATGAATATTTCAATATATCTGTTCTAATTACTACATTATATAAAAAAAAATGACATGATTTTACATGTAAATAATAAACAACATACATCTTGTATCAAGGGTCTGTACATGTATGTTTGTCTTTAAATTTTATTTAAATAGTACACTCAACAGTGATATTGTTTAAATACATGTAAATTTTATTAATTTATTAATATATTGAAAACAATAAAGTAGAAAAAAGAAACAGCTAGAAGATATCAAAAAGGACATGTACAGTAAAACCTAAATCAAACAAAATCTACAACACAATAAGACAAAAAAGACAAACAATTTTTGAAAAACTACATAGAATCATAGTTATAATTATCTGGGGAACCGTAGCTCTATAATATAATAGCCATATTTATATCTATATCTTTGATAGAACCATTTAGATAAACTGTATGAGTTTTATCTCTAGAAGAGTAAGCATATATCTTGTTCACCATCATGTAAAATATGTGGAATTAACATTTCTAATTGAAAGTAAAAAAGTCTTACTATGGTATAACTATAAACTAGTTAATATATAGTGTTAGTTTTTTTATATCTGTAATTTGCATATAATGATTTACCATTGCAAAACAATATCCATCATTCATGAAATTATATCACTCTAGATATGTGTCCTTTAGCTAGCCTACAATATTTTATTTTTGCTTTGAATGATCCAGTACTAGTTATGTTCATATTGAATTTCATATTATGTCTTCATATAATTTCAGTCAATGGAAATACATGGAATCCAACATCCTAGCTACTTTTGCAATTTTTCATACAGACTATGAAAACAGTTACTATAGAGTATAGTGTTCTTTTAAACGTTGTACATGTTGAAGTGTTGTAACAAATTACTTTTCATCAACTATATGTACAAAAATGAATGAAGAAGGTAAGATATTAAAGTTATCATGGTTATACTCAAATAGTTATTTTTACTTGTGAGAAAAGTTGCATGTAATATTTCATGGAAAATATTCTTTCTTCTTCCTGTTATTGACTTAAAAATGTAACTCTGTCTCAAATGAATTGAAAGTTCAAAGATTTAAGAATACAAACAAGTGTACATGTACATAAACAAACATTAAAATATTATTGTCTATAATTAACATTGCCAAGTTCTCAAAATATTTTTTATAGCCTACAGCTATTGACCATTTTTACAACACAGACTACAAATTGTGTGGTCTCAGTGAAATTCAGTCATGTATTTGCAGATTTTACATACTTTCGTACATGTAGGTGTAATTAAGATTGACCACCCCCCCTTTTGTGAGAAAAAATTTCTTAGGTCAGTCAGCGGGCCCCCCTTACAAAAAGTTCTGGATCTGCTACTGAGCAGCTACATGTATACCAATATAAAATACCAGACAGTTTAAAATAAGAGAATAAAACAACCACAACCTTTTTAATGGTTTGCAATCAGGACTACAACATCATTGACCTTCTTGATTTTTGGGGTCCAGACTGACAGGGCTGCCACTTTTTAAGAACACACAATCATTGATTATTTCAATTCAAATTTTTAGGTTGAAATGCTTTTGTTTTTCACTACCGGTACATGTATAACATTATAATTTCAGGTTAGGATGGAAAACTGGTGAAGATGAAGGTTACAATTGTGATCTACTTATTGATTAATTTGAAGCAGATTTTGTTCTAAAGAGGGAAACAAATAAACAGTGTGTTTTATAAAGATGTTCAATTATTAACACAACAACAAAAATAATCATTGTATGAGAGATAAATGGATATACGTGAAAATAAAGACACTTTATTTTCTTTTTCTATTCACACTTTTTAGTAAGTAGCTATAAATAGCTACATTACCAAGCTCCAATTAGACTAATATTTTTTTAACCCTCTTTCCAAATTATTTGCAATCTTTTATAATTTTGTTCAATTTGGTGGTCCTGAGATATTGGTTAATGTATCTATTCCTCACAGGTTTTATACGACCGCAAAAATTTTTTGCGGTCGTATATTGGTATGACATTGGTGTCGTCGTCGTCCGAAGATACATTGGTTTTCGCACAATAACTTTAGTTTGAGTGAATGGATCTCTATGAAATTTTACCATAAGGTTCAATACCACAAAAGGAAGGTTGGGATTGATTTTGGGGGTTATGATACCAGCAGTTTAGGAGTTAGGGGCCAAAAATATGCATTTTTGTAACAGCCAGACAATAACTTGTGTGTTAGTGTATGGATCTCTCTGACATTGTACCACAAGGTTCCATACCACAAAGGGAATGTTTGGATTGATTTTTGGGGGTAATTGACTCAAAATTTTAGGAATTAGGGGCAAAAAAAGGGGCAAAAAACAAGCATTTTTCTAGTTTCCAGACAATAACTTGTGTTCAAGTGTATGGATCTCTCTGAAATTGTACTGCAAAGTACCATACCACAAAGGGAAGGCTTGGATTGATTTTGGAGGTAGTTGCCTCAAAATTTTAGGAATTAGGGGCCAAAAAGGGACAAAAAACAAGCATTTTTCTAGTTTCAGGACAATAACTTGTGTGTAAGTGTATGGATCTTTATGAAATTGTACTACAAGGTTCCCTATCACAAAGGGAAAGCTGGGTTTGAGTTTGGGGGTAATTGCCCAAAATGTTTAGGAATTTAGGGCCAAAAAACAAGCATTTTTACAGTTTCCAGATAATAAATTGTGTTTAAGTGTATGGATCTCTCTGAAATTGTACTGCAAGGTACCATACCACAAAGGGAAGGCTGGGATTGAGTTGGGGGGTGATGAATCATAAGGGGGTTCAAAAAATTTAGGGAGGGGATTTTTTTTTCTATTTTAAGACTTATATGATGTATTTAAATTGGTAATTATGGTTGCAACCTCCATTGCAAATTTGAATTGAGATTATGACCATATGTTGAGGGAAATAATTTTTTTTGGAAAAGGGGGGGGGGGGGGGGTAAAAAAGAAATTGTGGGAGCAATTTATTTTTTTCATTTCAGATTTCAGAAATTAAAAAGAAAATGTCTTCAAATATTATTTCTTTTTGTCAAAAAAAGGGGGGGGGGTAAATTTTTTTTGGGGGGTTCAATTTCGCAGCAGCATAGTGTATTGCACAAAAGCAAAAAATTGAATATAAATTCAAATCATATAACCAATTCTAAGTTCTTTGACTACAGTTATTCGGTGTCAGAAACCTATTAGGTGTCAAATATTTATTTACAATCCAAATTCAGACCTGTATCAAGCGCGAATATTGTGTCCATTTTTCCCCAACAGTTCAGGGTTGGACCTCTGTGGTCGTATCCAGCTGCACTCAGCGAAGCATTTTATTGTTGTTGTTATAACTCGCTTTAAAAAAGTGTGGGTATATACTGTTTTACCTCTCTGTCAGTCCGTCCGTCCCATGAATATTTTTGTCACATTTTTCTCAGGAACTACTTGACAAGGATTTCTGAAATTTAGTTTCAGGGTTTATATAAGTAAGTTACACCGTGTGATGCGTTTTCAGATTCATCACTCAACAACTTCATGTTTACCGAAATATTTCGGCGGGGGTATCATCAGTGAGCAGTAGCTCACAGTTTTACTTGTTTTAAGATACATGGTCCTAGGAAAGGCAAAGGATACCGTTTGTATGCAGATAAAACTGGTTTATCCCTGTCGCATTGTACATTTTGGTGTTTTTATAAGTAGTGTAGTTTGTTGGTGTAAAATCAGGATCCTCACACATTTATAAATGCAAGTATCAAACAAAAGTTAATATGACAAAAAGCAACCAAAAACAACCACAGAGTCTCCCACTACTTACTTAGAACAAGGTCATACAGTATGAGAGTGTGGTGGGCTTACACATACTGTAAGTGCTAAATTCTCCTGTAACCTGTGACGGTGTAACAGCTTAACATTTAATTAAGAACAAACAGTTGACACACAGAAATGTCACCCTTATAATAAATAAAAATATGTGGTATGATCGCCAATCATGAAAAAGACAACTCTCCACCAGAGACCAAATGAATCTACTGAAAAGTAACTCATTCATGTCCCTGCATGCAAAAGCTCTTAAAGTCAATAATCCCTGACCATGGGCTGGGCTAAAAATCTCCATGGAAATAAGATGTGCTTCAGTTAATACAAGATTAATAAGTTAATAAGAATAAGAAAGATAAGTACGCATGTTAAAAGGGATAATGTCAGCTTCTTATATTTCTTGTAACATGCTCAAAGAAGCTTCTGTGTGAAATCTGCCTCATAAAGTTAAGGGAACGTGTTTGTCAAAAGGGCACAGTTTGTTAACAAAGAAAATTCGAGTGTCTGCATCTTTGGTTGAAATACAAAAACAAAACGTTAAACACGCCTATGAGTTTTTAAGATATCCTCTTCTTGAATGCATGGACGTGGGAGTGATTTTTTGGTATCCAAGTAAATTGGAAACTCCTAGCTAATTCCTGTATCCGTATTGTTTAAAAAATATTCACGATATTGAAAGGTGTTTCGTCGGCAGCGAACGATAACATTTTTTGGAGTAACACCAGCGTCTATATAGATACTTACTTCCATGGGTAGTAAACAACAAATGAATAGAGCTTTGTTCTTGATGTTAGCAAATAAGGGTATATATATTTTAAAACTCCCAAAAGGCATACAATCTAAATCTATAGGTATTAAAGAAAAATATTTTATAAACGGTGCCTACCTGTTTCTTAATTATGTCAAGCTTCAAATCGTCATAAATTAAAAAGGTTATTTTTTTTCATCAAAGATCTGCAATCCACATTTTATAAATATACAAATTATTCAACAAGAGACATATATATATATACATGTATATATGTCTCTGATAATGATTCAACCCTTTTCCAGATTAGTTTCATTGACGGAATATTGGATACTTCCTAAAGAAAAAGTGGCATCCTTGCTAAATATTTATATTTTCCTTAAAGTTTGTGCATTACAATTAGCCATTCCAGTGGCGGACCCAGAAGTTTTTATTAGGGGGTCCGTTACAGTCATGGATCAGTGATTCCCTATATAATCAACCAAATTTGTCCCTCTAAAGGGGGCCTAGATCCGCCTATGCTGATTCAGTGAACAATGCTGAAGATAAAGTAGCCAACTTGCATGAACACTATGTATGAGAGGTTCTTCTCTAAAAAACATTGGACAGGTTTTCAGGGCAGGATAATAATATGAAATACGAAATTTCGATTAAATCCAACCACTGTATTATATACTCGCATTATTTATATACATTCTGGAATCGTCTAGTTGTTAAATTGTCAATATAGTGAATTGAAAAGAACAGAGAATAAATACGGAAAAATGTGAATAATGTGGTAAAAAAAAGAAGTTTTGACTTGATAATATTGCAGCTAGTGCTAGCTATTATCTGAGGCTATAATTTAATGAGACTCTCAGAGCTTTCAATGATTATATTATAATACCACTACACGGAGTCCCTTTTTTAATATCCAACATATTTGGACGACTTGCACCAAATCACATTCTTTAGTCATTGTTTTTAATGGAGGCGGAGGATCATTTTCAAGTTTCAAGGGCTTTCCAATGCAGTATTATTGATATCTATAATTAAAAACAGGACATTGACATTTTTGTAATTTAAAAATCTTCAAAAATTGTAAGATTTTCATCAAATTAATAATTACACGAGGATGCAGTGTTACCTGGTACCCGAAATCAAAATTATGTAAAAGCACCGACACTTTTTTTTCATCAGATGAAAATAAGTTTAAATAAAAAAAAAACCACTTTTTATGTAAATTTCTTGCTGAATATTAATTCATCCGCGTTGAAGAAAATTTTACGATTGTAAAGACATTTAGAATCAAACATTTAATCCCTCCCCCCCCTTAAATTTGTTTTTAGATATCGTCAGGGGACGAAAAGACATCAATTCAAGAAATATTAAGAACAGACAAACAGTCTGCCTTTTTATTCTTGGCTTAGAGAAAGTAATTTCGATGTCTGAAATATTTTCAATCCCCCCCCCCCATCATTTTTATATTTTTATAATACACGCAGAAAACACTTTTATGGAGTGCATTCGTGTCCTTTAACACACACGAGCACGTGACAATGATTTGTTATCCTATTTTGAAAGTGTAAAAGAAGAACCCAAATAACCGGTCAAGGGTTCATACACTTATCGAAATAAAAACAGACAGCGATGAAGGTAGAGTCATTACATAAGAAAACATAGATTTTAATATATTAGACAGCCAAATGTTATCAGTATCACGAAAAATACAAAGTGGGGGTTATCTCAAAATACTCGCTACTGTAGAAAATCACTGCGGCTGAAACCTTGCATGGGCTAAATTTCTGTTCTATGTATTATCGTTATGGCTGGTATCTTATTTATGTGTTTACTTGACCCTTAACCTGTTAACTGGCAAGTTGTGAACATGTATAGCCTGTTTTGAAAAATATCCGTGTCAAAAAGTCAAAGAGGAGGAGATGGTCATTGTCAGCATCTGCGCTACCGTTAGCGTCGAATGAGTCTTGATTATATATCGTCATTCGTAAAATCTTATTTCGTAGCCACGTTAGGGTCAAATGGAGGAAAATATTTATCGTTAACGTCTATACTGACTTTAGTAATGTGGGGTACCCCATAACTTCCCTCGGACAAGGGGTTCATGATTCCCACTCCCTATCCCGAACTTCCATTTCCCTTCCCTTTTACTCTAAAATTGTCTCCCCTAACTTCTACTACCATCCCCTTTGCTCCCAGACAAAAAAATCATTAATGGCAAAATATGTTTCCCAGATTATGTCCCCCCCCCCCCCCCCCCCCCCGTCTCTTCTCGAATTCTTGTCCTTTCACCCAATATCATGTTCGCTCCAATAATTTCACGTTCATCCCTTTTACATTCACACCCTGAGTCTTTTTGTACCCTTCCTTTAATCTTAATCATGCTTTTGTTAGTGTAGTTCTAT